CGCTTCTTGCGCAAATAAGTAGCCTGGCAATCGTTAGCTTTGTTTGGATAGAGAACGTGAACGAATGGATGGCCGAGTGATCAAGCAACAAAGGAGCATTTTTGGCCGTACAGGGTTCGCAAACAAGGTGATGAGAGTGAGGGATTAATGGGACGGCCGGCAGCACATCGTAGTAAACAGACACAAGACTAGGGGGCAAGCCGTGCTTGCAATATCATCCGGCCATCGGTCGCAACAAGAAATCGACCATAAGACGGGTAGAACTCCAGGCGCATGTACAAAAAGCGTGAGAGGGCGAGTGATAGTAGCATGTATAGCAGGGGAGAGGGGTTGAAGGAGGAGGGGCGGTGGAGGGGGAAGGGGGGGGAGAGAGGGGGGAGAGAGAAAGAGAGAGAGAGAGAACTGCCAACGATCTCCGCAGGTAGAGAGACTAAGGTAAATAAATCAACGAGTTAGAGGAGTGGAACACACCGAGACTGGTTTGTCGTAGTCTGTTGTGGATGAATGGATGTATGGATGGGTGGATAGATGGATGGATGAATGTACGGTCAGAGTGTGTGGCTACTATTAGTGGCCGTCGAAAATAGGCCGATAGACTGGCTGGGTGAGAATCACAGACCCCGAGCTCTATCGGGAGGGGAAGGGGGTTTGGAGATTGAAAGTCGTTAGAGTCGGCCCAGTAGATAGTAGTCGCAGCGCTCGGTAAGCACTTGGAGAAGGGGGAGACAAAGAAAGTCTCGGATACAATGTCCCAGCTGCAAGAGGGACCATTACCCAGGCTCCTAGAGATGTTTGGTGGTGTCAGGCTTCGTGCATGTCATGTGAGAATGTGTGAGGAGGAGAGGAGAGGAGAGGAGAGCAATTCCATCACAAGAGGGGAAAAACAGAAGCAAAGCAACAACATGAAAAAGAAACTCGAGAGAAAAAAAAGAAACGAAAAGAAGAAGCAAGGCAAGAAGGAAGTTAAGTGTAACATACGCAATGGGTGTTTTCCAGGTCAGATTAAATCAAATGATGATGATGATTATAATAATAATAATAAGAAGAATAATAAACGATCCAAAGAAGAACCCTTTAAAGAAAAAATATTAATCCAAATAGGGTAAAAAAAGAAAAAGAAAAGAAAGAAAAGAAAAATAAATACGACGCCGACGACGGGAGGTCAAGTCTGGCAGTTTTTCGATCCAGCGGGAGATATTTAGGCAGGTAGCTAAGCCAAGCTGTCGGGTCGCCCGGGGGAAGGAAGAAGAAAGGAAGGGGAGGAGAGTGGATAAATTGATTACCTGGGTAGTACTCCGTACCGTAGTTAGTAGATCGAACGGTGGTCGAGGTTCGGAGGATTCAGGTTGTGTGGGCTTCTTTTTCCTTAAGAAGAGAAGGAGAAGAAAGAGAGAATTTCGGCAACGGGTCCCAGAACGAAGCAGAACGGGGCTACCGGGGCGGGGGGGGGGGGGGGGGGGGGAGGGAGGGAGGGGGTGTAAAATCGATGATGGATGGATCCTCGAGAGAATTATTATTAAACTGTTGTTAAAACTGGAATTGGGCATAAGTTGTTGAAGCAGTCAGTGACTTCCCGCTTGGTGACTGAATGAAGAACAAGATAAAGTCAGTCAGTCAGTCGGTCCTCTCTCGGCAACAGCGGGTTGATCTGATGGGGTAAAAGGTAAAAGGTAAAAGGTCAAAGGCGGGATCGAAATGCTGGAAAGAGAAAATGACGATGGATAGATAGATTGATTGTTATTCCTCCTCTTCCCCTTCCTCTTCTTCTTCTTCTTATTATTATGGTGGAAGGGGGAGGGGAAAAGGACCCAGAGATCAATTTCACACTCACTCACTCACTCAAAATGGGGGGGAAAGTCGGGCTCCAAGGTGAGGAAGAGAGGAAGAAAGGAAGACAGAAAATTGGGATCAAAATAATATAATACTAACAGGAATGGATGTGCGTGATGAGCAAAGAAACGAAGTATTAGACAAACGGCGGAAGGAGCAGTGACAGTGACAACTGTACTCTGTAAGTTGAGGGTGTTGATGCCCCTCTTTTCTTCCCTCCAAGTCTCTTCAAGCTCTTTCTTTCCTTCCCTTTCTCTCTTCGAAGCAATCTACCTCTCTAGGCCAGTACCTCTACCGCAATTCAATACTTCCATCACTTCCACCTGCTTTACCTATTGACTCTTTTACTGGCGGAGGGAAAGAAGACGGATCAGGTGTGAAACAACAACAACAACAATAACAACAATTACAAGGAAAGGGAACGAACAATAGCAGCAGTACGCCAACTTAGCAGTAGGTATACCTACATAGTAGTTAGAGTATCTGCCCCTACGATCCTTACAGAAAAAAACGAAAGCGATTCAGTTCTCACTTGTGCTGCGCAACCCTTCTGGACCCCTTCTTCCCCAGAGTCCCTGTCTTCTTCTTCAACTATTGCATATTCTGGTCCGGCTACTGTTGCTGCTGCTGCTAGACTAGCTAAACTACTTCTACTTTCTCTTCTTCTTCTTCTTCTTCTTCTTTCTTGCTTGTCTGCCTGCTTGCTTGCTTGCTTGCTGCTTGCTTGCATGGTCTCCGTCAGGTAAATTGGGACTGGTAAGCCCGAACCAGGATCCTGGTTTGCATGAATCAACACAAAGCCACCAAAATTGACAGATCGCTTTTCTCGAGGACCGCTGGGCTGGTCTGGGTCTGGGCTGTCCTCCGCTTGGTCTTCTTTGCGCTTAGAAAGACGATGCCTTTTTTTTTCCACTGGAGATCCTCGTTTCCTCTTCGGACACGAATCTAGTAATCCACCGCAAAACATAGAGCCGAAATAAGTTGATCCTCCAACATAAGAGGAAGAAAATATAGTCTCCGGAGGGAAAGTCAGCGCGCGTGTGGAAATAAAAACCATTGTGTGTGAGGAGCGCGCGCAGCAGCAGCAAGTGGAGCCGCAAACTGGAGCTGCTGATAGGCTAGGATTGACTAAAAATGCTACCTAGGCTGTGAATCGTAGGAGCCCAGTTCAGCATGAACACAGCCCTTTTTCGAAAAGCCTACGGAGTACTGAGAACCTGTACATCGGTAATTTAAAAGCCCGTCATATTCTTCGATCGTCTGAAGATACTTATGAGTAGTAGCAGAAACTGACTTGGCTGAAAGTGGAAGCAGGGGGAGGGGTGACCGTTCGGGAAGTCAGAGAGAGCCTGTAACGCGAGGGTGGAAGGGCCCGCAATCAGTTCCGGTCCTTCCCAAGTGCCACATGGGTTTGACTGGAGACTTTCGCTCGGCTTGACCCAAAAGGCTTATATAAAAAAACAATCATACTGGGTAGAAGGGGAAAGCAAGGATAATATCATGGAGGTGTATCAGAGATGAAAAGCGAGGGTGTGACCCCGGTTGATCTAATATCAAACATATTCCATTGACAGATACAGAGAACTCCATCCGTAGATGATACTGCCTTAATTTTCGGGTCCGATCGAGAACGGTTTTTCTTCGGCTGATGGTCGGTTGATGGACCAGGAAATGATCGGTGCCCAAAAGCGCCTGAGGGGGGCGGCTATCCTCTTCACATGTGGTAGGAGGTTAGGAGAGTCAATGAAGAAGAAAGATGGTCATCAGGGAGGGAGAAAATACGGTATGGGGAAGGGTGGAGGGGAATGATGGACTGATGGACTGATGTTCGATGGGGCATTGTTGAAGAATAGGTACCGGTAAGATGATCTGAAGGGACAGCAAAGTTGATCTGTCCATCAAAGAATGACCCAATCCCTTTGCCCACCAGCCGAGAATGGATAAACACCAAGCTACGAGTAATGAGGACACTGACTGGAGGTAAATGAGGGGAGCAACGGAAGTTTACATGTGCTTGTTGCTTCAAGCATGCTTGCTGTCGTTAGAACCATTTTTCCGGTCTCGCAGTGCTGCCCATTTGACTAGGTACAGTAACTATGTTTCGGACTCTTACTCGTGTCTCTGGTTTCTTGTGATCGAAGGTACTCTACTCCGTAGATCCTTGGACTATGAACAAGGGGGCGACATCCGTCACCTTCAAGGCGTCTGACTGACCGAGCGGTCAGCTCTTCTTTCGTCGGTTTCCCTCCTGCCCGGCCACGACCGTTGATGCCTAACATGAATACATCCAATACTGCGAGCAGCGAACGACGAGAGTTTGAACCGGGGGAAAGAGGGGGAGGGGTGATAAGGTTGCCCCCCGGCGAAAAGAAAAAGCAGAAGACGGTGAGCGTGGTTATATAAGTAGTGCAGCAGTTCAGGAGAAATTCCCAGGCGGCGAGCGCCTCGAAAAAGGCGGAGAAACAACCGAAGTGACATGCGGATGCGGTGGACAACGGATTTCAATAGTCGATGCAAACAGCCATCAAACCAGTCAGTCGGCAGTCAGTGATCGTGGATCTCATGCTGAAGAAGCTGAGGGTCACGCCACAATCCATGTTCTGCCCGAGACTCTGACATGCATATGTTTCGGACTAGGTAAGTAGCTAGGTAGCTACTAACCTACCACTTTTCCTGGCTCAATGCTGCCAGTTGAGAGCTCCAAGCTGGAGAGGAATGGATCTGTTTCCGACCCCACAACCAGAGAAGCGAAAACATAGTGGCGATATTGTTCCCTGGTTCAACTCCCGTTGGCATCTATTCTAAACTTTCAGCCAGCGCCTCCCCCCCCATCTTCTCTTTTCTCCCTGCCAGGAACGAGCTGTGAAATAATCAACCGCGGGAGAGACCTTCGGGGCGCGGTAATCTACGGGAAGAAAAACAACTGCGGATAAATTACAAGGATTGTAGATCAACACCGATCACCAAACAAACGTCACCGGTCGACCTTTTGTTTCCACCAAACGCCGTTTGTAGCACTGAGATTCTTCATTTGCTGGGTGTTCTCCATACGAAATCGATCAAGGACAGGAATTTGGATCTTGAGCTTCAAGAGATTAAGACCCTCAAGGCTACTTTTCTGGAACCCTCTCCTTCTTCCCACCCCCCCATTTCGCCACTGGAAGGGGGGAGGGGGGCTTCGCTTGGTGTACTGTACTCCGTAATGCGATACACATTCATTCGGTATGCGGACGCGAAACCCCTTCCTTCAGGTTTGAGCCTCAGCTCGTAAGACCTCGCGCCCGGGAAAGGAGCCAAACGTTAGTTAATTGATGCAAGTAGTTACAGGAAAGATTAAAGAAATGCACGTAACGGACCATTCTGATCTGCTTGCAGAGGTTCCCTATCATCAGGGCCGCTCAAAGAATGGTCACGGTCGTACAGTGCTTGGTCACTTCGGGGAAATTGTAGGTAATCGAGCTTAACCTTTCACTGCATTTTCCATGGGGCTACGGAGTACGGAGACTCAATCGCACACTGTTGTCCGCCGGCGATCTCTTAGCCTAACCTGGTAGGTAAGTTAGCAAGGTAGCTAGGCAGCCAGGGAGCCAGATACTCACTCACTCACTGCAGTGTACAGTACTCATTACTACCGGTATAGATCTTTTGACCAGGATAACAATGTCGGCTTACCGTAAGTCATAAGTCATCAGGTGGAAAGACTGGGGCACAGTTTTGACGGCCGTGATCGTCCAGGGGATCGATATATGGCATGTGTATTTTTTTTTCACGGTCGCTGGACCACAATATGTTTTAGTCTCGACTCCCAACCCAGCTGGGACTGACCGACCGACAATACAATGGAGCCAATAGTTAATAAGAAGCAGGTATTCTGAATATCAAGTTCTCATATGAGATTCATTCGGTCAAGATTCTCCTCCAGCTACAGAGAGACTCATCACCGCCAATCACGATCCACACCATCCCCCATCCGCTTGTCATGTCTTATTCAAGTTCCATTTTCTTCTCGTCTCGCATAAGGCGTTATGCGAAGATTTAGTATCCTCCCACGATCCCGTCTCCTGGAACCCGCCCATCGGCTGCCGGCATTGTTTGTTCGATCCTCTCGGTCTGTCAAGGATGAAAAAGGGTCTCGAAGAATTGAATGGGGATTCACTTCTGTTTCTCTCTTTTCTTTCAAAAATCGAAGAAAAAAGAGAGATAGCATTCGATGTAAAGAGAGAGAAAAAGAGAGCCACCAGCTACTATTTTCCCACTCTCGATTACTCACAGGAAAAAGAGTGGGGGATTGTTAGCCTCTCGCTCTCTCGATCTGTCGACTCAACTGGCTCTGATTGAACGAAGATCCTGCAAGGTTGGGCGCGCGCTCGGCAAGATTAGTGGCGGATGATGTGCATATTTGTACTCCGTGCGACAGCGCAAGGTAGGTAGCTCCTCAATTAGTAGATAAAGTAGTGTGTGAATTGGGTAAGTTAGGTAGTGTGACCAAAGCGCCAAAGGGGGGGGGGGAAGCAAGGGATAGCCCTGTTCGGTACAGATTGATTGTCACTGTAGTTGGGGATCCGTTGGCCTTCATTGCACGTTACACGCGTTGACTAATAAAACCATTCGGCTGGAGGTGCAACTATTGTCAGCGACAAAGAGAAGGGTCCAGATAGTGAGGAAATAGTTTGAATCACAAGGGACCTTGAGTAGGGTAGGGAGGGGGTGGTAAGTTACTCCGTACTAGACCTGGGATCCTGATCGATTGACCTTTCAATGCTGCTGTCCAACATGAATTCGGAATCGATCCGTATCAAGGTGAAAACAAAGGCAATTCTACCCTATTGACTGATACCGTAATGTAATGGATGGTTGGAAGTCTCCAATAACCACCCTGGTATTGAAGAGTTGCTGTTTCTTCCCTTCAAGGCCTAGTCCAACCCATTTCGCTGTCTGAGCGCAGACAGCATCGAGTCGTCGATGACTGGCCGGTGCCCATCTGATAAGGATAACCCATCTTCCCACTGGAAAACGGGCACCGCCACTTTGCCCAACCGCTGCACCATCCATCCACCCATCCACCCATACCGTATGCTTCTTACTCTGTAGCTTGATCATTTGAACGATGATACGAATCGAAACTATAGACGGCAGCCCAAAGACAAATCCTTCAAGACAGGCCACCACCCAAAGCCCCCGTTTTCACAAATGGCCGAACTCCGAGACTGATTCGCCCACTCTCACAGAAGGGCCCTGTGCGCAAGTGAATGAACTTCGGCGACATACTGAGAGGAAAGAGTGTTTGCTCCTGGAGATCTGGGCGAAGCTTCCAGCGAATAGACGATGGAGTGGGAAGCAACTCATCACGAGGCCCGGGCTCCATTCCGAAACCGGGTCAGACAACCTTGATTTTCATCATAGGCTGAAGCAAAATGTTGATCAATAGTTGGGGTACGAAGCTGAGTTGGTAGCGACCTAGGATAGAATTCACGTCCGTCCCATCAAGCTTGTGATTTGCCCATCAATCTACCTCTCTCCTCGACTACCTACGGTAGGCTACTTACCTGCCCTACCTGACTCTACCGTAACCCTTATGGAGGTGCATGGTACATGTCCTCACCACTGCCGAGGGGGTACAATAGAGGTCACGAGGTACAACTTACCACTCCGTAGAAAAGGTCAGAGGGTCAGTGGCCTGCCTGAGTACCGAGTAGATCTGTGTCCGATGACTCCTTTGGGGGTTCCGCCCTTTCGATGTGATATTTCCCTCCCCTTTAGTTAAAAAAAGTGCCGTGCGGTCTCGGTCTCCTCTGGGCAAATGACAGCGGGCCAGCCCGCTTCTGGTGGTTGGTTCGGGGTCGGATCATAATTCTACTGGTACGCGGTAGGATCGCTGAAAAGTGAGGCTGGGGAGATCCTGGACGCATGATTGGCAATAGGAGAGGATTTATACGGAGATTTGTAAGGGCAATTGGGTTATTGTGAAGCTTTCAGGCTGTGTGTGTGGCTATCTGCTACGATATCTCAAGTAAGTTATTCCATGTTGCCGGTTGTTGAGGGAATGCTCCTTTCTACAGGAGAGTTGCTAAGTAATACTACGCTATGTCTCCGTCAAAGACTTTGAGAGAGCTCCTCTCGGTCATTTGTAGGGTGGGCGTCGAGACAACAGTGACCCTCCTTGCAGCGACTTGGAGAATCCGAGACCGGTCAAAATTGCTGCATCTAGTAAACAATCAACGGTCTGACCTGGGACGGTACGCGAGGTGGATTGTAACGACCTGGTGACGCTATATCACAATCGATCTGCTGTCGATCCGACTCACTCAAAAGTTGAGCTAAAGCCTCGTTATTACTATGAGTATGTGATGCCGTTCCCGGAAGAGCGGCGCGTTCATTTTGTTTGGACGGCTTAACGTATCAATCTCATCTTGACTGAACCAGTGTGCTACCTGGGAACGTCTCCGGCATGTTTTCTTATTGCGGTTTGCTGTTTTGTTGCCAGAAGGAGCACGCCATAAGAGTATCTGACTACCGTCCGTCGAGGGCGATCTCCCTCACACACCACGGACATGACAATGTAGTGTGTTCATGACAACGTGGCACTGATGAGTAACATGTTCTGTGCTGTGGGGGAGCAGTCGAGTGACAAGGCCTTCTCTTGCAGACTGTGTGCATGATGACCTGTACGATTAAGGGAGAGGGGCGGGGAGGAGTTCCTGTACTGGACTCCTCTCATGCCAGACACCCGCACCATTGCTCCCAGCCCCAGGGTATCGGTTCTTGAATCGAGCTGCGATCGGGGAGGGGGTTCACAGGAGCTGCCAGTCCGATCGCTCGATTATTACTCGGGTTGGGGCGGCGCGCATTTAGCGCAGAGGTCAATCCAGGAACCAATCTTCCCAACTTGCTGCTTGCATGTGCAGTGCACCCGTTTCATGCAATTTGAGGGGGTCTCTATTCTCTATTCTATGCGTTTGGTGCAGCGGGAACGAAGAGACCAAGAAATGCGGTTACCACACGCATTAGCCCGGCGTTGGACAAGCGTAAAGCCTATCGTATGGAGACGAGTTTCCTCTTCAGATTGGATAGTCAGTTGAAGCTGAAACAATCGTCTCGCGAAGTGAGAGGGAGCGAGCGAGCGAGAGTGAGTGAAGAAGGTGGGGGAGCGGGGTGGATTAGATCCATAGCCTAAGTTAGCTGGCAGAGGGTGATACATAAAGACCTACGTCGTACTGTACATTACATTCAGAATGACCTTCGATTCGACAGATGACACTAACCCATCTGGGAAGCACAGGTGAATCGGAACCCTTCGACTAGTTGTGGAGAGGCTCAGGAATCTTGCGATGTGTAAGATTTTGTGGGTAGATGAGTATGCGACAGTCTTTTGACTCGAGCACAGACTTTTTTTCCTTTGCAGTAAGTACCTAACTTATGGCTCGGCTCACCCATAGGCATCTTTCTGCCGGACGGGCCGCGTTGGCGGGATCGGGAAGCTGTTTTGCATGAATTTCCTGTAGGACTACAGAATGGCAACAGGGTGCAGGGGAGATGGAATGAGAGGGAAGTACCCGGATCATGGATACTCTTGTGATGAACTGAAACTTGAAGGAGGACGCACAGGGCGCACACGAGAAGGAAGAAACCGAATCTACCTACCAGAAGCAAGCAAGCCCGAGGTCCTTGTAGTGGTTTTGCACGCCACTGGATTCATCACATTTCCTATCGGTCTGGATCCTCTCTTCTCAGATTCCCCCGAACATCGCCGACAGACAGACAGACAGACAGACAGACAATTGCGGAACAATTGTGCAGCAGGTATCTGCCTATGACTATCTTCAGGTGAGACAAATATACACCAACTAAGGCTACATGACAGTACCTTATACATCAACTGCAAGCCATAAGTTAAGTACATACCGTACGGAGTACTCCGTACATTAACTGGCTACCGAATGGTAGGTATTGTATTGTAAGCCTCCCTCGGCTGACTAATCGGCACTTTCTTCCCATCAACATTGTTGATGATGGTTGGTGATGAGACAGACTATCAAGTAGTACTGTCGTGTCTAGTTACAGTACTAACCGGTCACACACTATCCTACGAAGTACTCCTCAAAAAAAGCAACCAACCAAGACCATCATCTCTTGACGAGCAATTTCACAGAGCCAAATGTCATGTCATAGCTTCGGAAGCAACCAAAAAGTACCTGCCTGATGGAATACGATATCCCGCTTCCCCTGATCAGCAACCATGTGTTTGAAATGATGCTTCTTCAGGCTCTAGACTACTCGTAGCTCAGCCACAACACCGTATACTTTTGTTGCTGTATGTACTCCGTACTGTGACCCTGTCTAGGTAGTGCTAGTGCTGGCGCAGAGTACAGAGTTTACTGTATAGACTCTGTTCTTAGCAAGCGAGCAAGCAAGCAAGGAACAACAGCGGTTCTCTCGACTCCTACTCCAAGACTGTGTCATCAAACCAACACACATTGATCGATCGACAATGTGCGCTGTCAAGTCAACAAAGGAGACAGAGAGCTTACCTTTGCACAAGTCAACTAAGCCGGAGAAAGAATCCGTCTTCAATTGCAGGAGCCCAAGGTGAGCAGAATGATGATGAGTCCAAAACCGGATCGCCTTTGCGAAGTATATGAACCACACGACTGGTTCATCAGATGGCGACGCTCTTCAAGACTTCCCACACTTCCATTTCTCCATCCGTTGCCTTGCGCTCGCTCCGACGCATACGTCTCGATAAGTCATCCACCCCAAGGATCGATTAGCAAATCGCAACCTCTGACTAGCTGGCGATCTACGACAATCCGATGATAAGATCATAAACAAGCTACCAGGGGCCCTATCGATCAGGGAGCCACATTTCCAAGCCTTTCTCATCAAGATCGCGCACGTACATGGAGACCTGTGTGTGATTTTCCCCCA